ATGACCATATCGTACTTGCCGCCCTCGTAGAAGCCCATCGCGAGCTCCCTCCACGCCACATTCTCGAGCCGCCGCAACGCCGCGGGCGGGACGTCGTCCACCCAGAACTTACTCCGCAGCCTGACGTGGTGCCCGAGACTGAGCCCGCTGCGCGGCGCCACGACGGCCAGGAGCTGCAGCAGCTCGCGCGGGTCGAGCGTCATGTTATCGAGCACGAGCTGCTCGATGCGGCGCAGAGCGCCCGGAGGCGCCCCGAGCGACGGGCCGACCCAAAGAGTGAGGCCCGCGAGGACAAGGTCGTCGAGATTCGGAAGCAGAGCCAGGCCGCGCGCGAGGTCAAAGACGTCCAGCCGCGGCACGTGCGTTGCGTCACCAAAGTTCAGCACCAGCTGCCGGATGCTGTGTGTCGCTGTCGCAGAAAGGACGGGCAGAGGGCCGAGGGCGGCGGCGAGCGTGTCGTACCGGGGGCGGCCACCGAAGACGAGGCTCCCGAACAGGTGGCGCCGCGCAGGGCCCGTCCATGTCGAGTGCACCAGGCTGCAGGCCTTGAGCGCATCCGGGTCGTCGTGAAAGAAGTCGATGGTGCGCCTCAGGAGAGCCCCAGAGAGTTTCCGAATGGGGCCACGCAAGCCCCTCTTGCCCTTGCCTGCGAGGGCTTCTGTGACACGTTCCTCGGCGACCTGGCGCGGTTGGCCATTAGAGCGTTCGCGGGGGACCGAAACAGGCAGCCGGCTGGTCTTGTTCGGCGAGGCAACGGGCTTCCCGGTGTCGGCGTTGGCCTTCGCCAGCACCTTGCGAGACGGAATCATGAGAGTAATGTTGGTGGCCTTTTGCTTGAGGGCCGTCGTCTTTGTCTCGCCGACGAGTGCGACCGTCTTTAAAGACACAAAGTCGGGAGCCTGGTCTTCTCGAGATTTCTTCATCGTTCTTGTCACGGCGGGCATGGTAGACGGTTGGTAGTCGTAGATGGTGTGGTTGCGCTGTGTGGGTGATGGTGGATGCAGAGGTGAATCCCGTCGCGTTTGCGTCTTTTAATGACCAGGGCGTGGCCGTCATCATAATGAATTCGGCAGTGCCCGTGACACGAGGCCACGGAGACGGCCCCAAGGTGAAAGAGATGAGAGCACTCGTGACTGCGCCTTGTGAAAGCATAAGCGGGCTAAAAACAAAAGCAGCATTGAGAAGCCTCAAATCGATATACGCGCGAAAGCACAGTTATCTCAAAAGAAAGAAAGAACTATTAAAAGACGATACAGACCGTTGCACGAGTACTGAGCCTAACGCAGTGTGATGACCTGAGCTGGAAGGCTCGAGAGAATAGAGGAGCTGTGCCTGGAGGGTGATTCAGGCGGAAATCTCAAGATTCTGAATGTTGAAGATGGCAGGAAAGTCGACAAGTAGCAGGGGATACCGACTGACGCTGATCCGTCTCCGATTGCACCCGGGGGTTTTGTGGCGCGGTGATAGCCGGTTGGAAACCGACTTCAGGCTTGCCAAGTATTCGCGTTAAGGTGTCTAGTCCGTAATTACGGGAACTAATGCCCGCAGAATAGTGTGGAATGATTCTAAGTTCTGTGAAGAAACCGACACCCTCTCTGGTTCCTCGGAACCGATGGCCACCGTACCTTGTCGGGCTGTGTTGTGAAGGAATTGCGCAGGCGGGGATTCATGAGCAATCAAAAATAAATTCCTAGAGTAATACTACATGTTTTTATATGTCATCTACTTCCTAACATATCTGTTTAAATAAAATGTGCGTTAGGAAGCTGAGACTGGATGAAACATAGCGGGGAGCCAAACGGGCGCCGGCGCTGAGAATGCTCTAGGCGGGTCGTTTCTCGATACACTACGGGCATCCCCAGATTTCAGGGGGCCCGAAATGTCCCAGACAAGGCATCCAAAATGTAACATTTTGGGAGACTTTCCAGCAACTTTCCCGAGTGCTGAAATGCTCACTTTTCTGTCACTTTTGAGGCAATTTCTCTTGTCGGAAAAGGCTGTCTGTCACGCGCTTTGAAATAAACCTGAAACATCCCAGTTAGGCAGGCTGTACTGGTCATATGAGTGTCCCGGAAATTGCCGGGAAAGCCATCATTACTGATGGCTTTGTAATACATTTCAGGACATCAGGAACAAGCGCTTTCAGAGATTCGGAAATTTAACAGACCAAAAAACTGATGATAGTCCTGAAATACTCTTAAAATGTCTCGAGCAGGTATAATTAAGGGGCTCATAAAATGTATGTAACAAATTACCTTTTATGGTTGCTGAAACTATAGCTGCCATGTCCATTTCAGGCCCATTTCAGGCCCATTTCCTATCTGCCGAAAGGTAAAAATATCCTTGTATGTGA